AAGAAAGTCCTAACGAGGGTAGCCTCTCCAACGATGGTGGGACTATCTTCGAACCCTGGCGGTGCTTCTGCGAGCACTTCGCAGGGAAACACCTCAGGCCACTAGAAGTCTTAGCCGCTCTTACTCGTGCTGAAGTGGTAACGTTGCGTTCTCCACTTCAGGCATTGGCCAGGGCTAGTGACCCACGTATCACCCCGCAGACACATTTAGACCCATCGACGCTCTGTTCGAGAGATGTGTCTGAGGCCCTAGAAGGGTTAGAGACTGAATGGTCAGGGAAGGGCCCCAGAGACTCTTGGGCGATGATCAGGTCCAAAGGGTGAACATTTCGTGGTAGAGGTTGATGTAGGTGGTCGCAAAGTTGGCGCCTTCATAGACATAGTCTCTACACGAAACTTCATCAGTCGTGCTTGTGTGGATAGACTGTGCTTAGGGGACCAAGTGCAACCGCTTAGCAGAGCTGTAGCTTCTACGCTCGCCAACAAGCACCAAATGTTGGTAAAAGACTATGTCAAGGACGTAGTTTGTACCTTCTCCTATGGAGGAGGGGAAGTGAGCCATAAAATCTCCTTCCTGGTTAGCGACGAACTGCCCTTTGACATGCTCCTAGGTATGTACTACCTCGAGGTCGCGCAGCCGCAGTTTGACTGGGATAGAAAGGTGTTGATTCACAAATTGCCCAATGGTAGATCTGTTAGATTGCAAAAGTTTAAAGCTAGCAGTTTGATAGAAAACTACGGGTGCACGTGTGCATCATCTTTCTATAACTACTATAAGCAAAATCGCGAGGAGGGAATGTATCTAGTCTTTGTCTCTGAGAAAGGGGAGGCCGTTAAAACACCCCAGAGATAGAATCAATCGTCGTACAATATTCTAGAACCAGCCCACAGGCGTGGCAGAAAGGGAGGTTGTCCATGCAATAGAGGTTCTCCCAGGTAGTAAGGTGCCTAGAGGACGAATCTATAGGATGTCTCCTGTGGAGTTGGATGAGCTCCGCCGCCAGCTCAAGGAGCTCACAGAGAAGGGATGGATTCGGCCTAGTACCTCCCCTTACGGCGCTCTAGTCTTATTCATACCGAAGAAGGGAGGTACCCTGAGGATGTGCATTGATAATAGGGGTCTCAATGCCACCACTGTTAAAAACGCAGAGCCCCTACCCCGCATCGACGACCTACTAGATAGAGTGCAGGGATGCCGGTACTTTACTAAGATAGATCTAAAGCCCGGATACCATCAAATTGCTATTAGACCTGAGGATCAGCACAAAACCGCATTTCAGACCAGGTACGGTCTGTACGAGTTTGTGGTGATGCCCTTCGGCCTATGCAATGCACCTGGGACATTCCAGCATGCAATGAACAGGGTCTTTCATGATTACTTAGATAAGTTTATCGTCGTGTGCCTCGACGATATCCTCATCTTTAGTAAGACTGTAGAGGAGCACGCTGAGCACTTGAAAATAGTGCTAGGTCTCCTAAGAAAACACCAGTACAAGGTTAACTTGGAGAAATGCGAGTTTGGTTGCACCAAGATCTTGTACTTGGGTCATGAAATTTCAGCAGATGGGTTGAGGCCAGACGATGCAAAGGTGGCCAGCATTCGTGACTGGCCCAGACCTCAGACAGTTATTGAGGTCAGATCGTTTTTGGGGATGACGGACTATTATCGTTCGTTTGTGAACAACTATAGTACTATAGCTTCCCCTTTAACAGATCTTACTCGACTTGACACCCCTTGGGAATGGACAGAAGAGTGTGAGGCAGCCTTCAAGAAATTGAAGTATGCTCTAACACACTATGGAGTCCTCAAGCTCCCGGATCCTAATCAGCCCTTTGTCGTGACCACAGACGCCAACCAATATGGCATAGGCGCGGTCCTTGCGCAAAAGGAGGGGAAAAGTTGAGACCTATCGAGTATACGAGTAAAAAGATGTCATCTCAGAAACTAGCCAGGTACACTTACGAGCGTGACCTCTATGCCTTGTATAGGGCGCTGGTTCACTGGAGACGCTATCTCCTTGGCAGATTCTTTTATGTAAGATCTGACCATGAGAACTTGCGCTGGATCAAGACACAGTCGGTACTCTCTGATGCACTCAAGAGGTGGATTCAAGTAATAGACATGTATGACTATCAGCTTGACCCAATCAAGGGAGAGTACAACAAGGTGGTTGACGCGTTATCCCGTAGGGCAGATTATCTAGGGACCTTAGTAACCGAATTCGACATATCTTACGAGCTCACTCGATATTGGTGGAAGCCTATCAGCAAGATCCAGTTATGTCTGAGATCATTCGTAGATTTCATGCGAAACATAAAGTAACTTCCAACGAATTCACGATGATAAATAACTTGTTGTTTCTTGAGAAGGCAGGGAATAAAAGGTTGTGCGTTCCTGATAGTAAGTCTTTACGTAGTTTATTTTTAGGAGAATGTCATGATGCAACTGGTCATTTTGGCTATAAAAACACATCAGCGAACTTAGTACAAAGATTTTGGTGGCCCTCTATGATGCAAGATGCTAAAAGATACGTCGAAACCTGCCAGGTTTCCCAAAGGGACAGACCTAGGACTCAGGCTCCGCTCGGGTTGATTAAGCCCTTCCCGATTCCTGAAGGACCGGGTCAGAGTGTGTCCATGGATTTCATGGATACTCTTGTGACCAGCAGGTCTGGGAAAAGACACATCTTTGCTATAGTGGATCGCTTTTCTAAGTATGCCACACTAATCGCTATGCCATAAAATGCTAAAACTGACTACGTCATCAAACTCTTCATGGATAATTGGGTACGTGACTTCGGTTTGCCTACATCTATTGTTAGTGATAGAGATGTGAGATTTACCAGTGAACTGTGGCAATCAACTGCTGAAAAGATGGGCATAAAGCTCCAAATGACATTAGGGAATCACCCTGAGTCAAATGGCCAAGCAGAACAGATGAATTGAGTAGTACAGCACCTGCTTAGACATTATATCAAGCCAAGTCAGGACGACTGCGACGAGAAACTACCTCTCGTCGCCATCTTGTATAACAACGCTGTGCACAGTACTACAGGAATGCCTCCCAACCAATTGCACCTTGGTTGGAAACCCAGAACTGCACTTGACTTTCTGCTACCAGAAAGAGAACCCACCGCAGCACCTGGCAACATAGAGTTTGCTGCCAAATATGCAGCAAGCCGTTGAACATATCAGGAAATCTCAGGATGCAATGATCGCATATGAGAATAAGCACAGACGGCCCTCTAACTTTCAGGTAGGTGAAAGAGTCTGGGTTAAGTCATCTAAACAAGGTCAGGAGTTAGGCATTTCACGCAAACTAATGCCACAATACTTTGGGCCCTGGGAGATCTTAGACATTGTAGGGGATCAACCGGATGGGCCTTCATACGTGATTTGCATTCCTGCGCACTTATGTACTTACCCTGTGTTCCATGCCTCCAAGTTGGCACCTTTCGCTGCCGCTGATCAATTTCCCTCAAGAAGAACAATGCTGCCCCCAACCATGGATGGCGAAGTGGATATTGACCAGATCGGGGAGCATCAAGTGATGCCAATACCTCGACCATCAGGCAGAGGCCGCCCTCCTAAACCAAGAATGCAGTATCGTGTGAGATTCGGACATCATCTGGATCCTAAAGAAGATCGCTGGTTCACAAGAGAGGAAACTCATGAGAACAACACCTCAAGTGATTGCAGGTTACGAAAGAGAACTCAAAGGGAAGATGCCTGCAGAGTGACAGACTTCTCAGAGGACTAACGAAGTAAAGGAGGAGGGAATGTGAGGATGTGGGTCCTCGGCAGGCCTGAGGGGCCCCTGTTGCAAGAGTGTCTGCCCTAAGTGAAGGCGGGCCTAACATATCACAAGAGGCCCTCGACTGTCAAATTCATATTTGGGGTCCAGGCAGTTGTGACATGTCAGTTGGTTGAGAGAAACCCAGGCCGGGCAACAAAGACATTTCCACGGCCTTCTGGACTTTTCCAAAGAGTGCAGGCCCTAGGCGAGAATCGCAGCATCATACACTGACAGTTGGGAGGCCCAACCGCAAGAGGCCCAGTAGCTGCACACAAGCGCAGCACCTAGGGCCTACCGGAAGCTTCTGGGCCCAGGCCCAGCCCAGCCAGGCTGCGCGAGCAGACCAACTCTTTCCATATAGGAAAGAACTCTTCCTGGCCAGCCTCGTTCGGGCACTTGCTGGCTGGCGGCAGCGCTGCTAGAGCGATAGCTCGTGTGCTGGCTGCTAGCATTGGAGCAAGAGGCTGCGCACGTGCGGTCGTGTGGTGAAGCAGGGCGTTGTTGAGGGCAGCGCCATAGCCCAGCCTCCATAGCTGGCTGTGGGCTTGGACATACAGTGAGGCGCAGGGGTGGTCTTCGGTTGTAGAGAAGGGAAGACGTAAGGGAGAGACACGGGAGAGAGAGAGAAGGATGATGATGATGAGGATGTGAGGGCACATACCTGGTATTGGCGATGGTTCTGCATGGGCTACATCTTCAAGTACTTCGGGTGCTGCTTACGTCAACAGTTGCATTGTCAATTAGTAGGCTAGTAGTAGTTGTGTAGGGAGTAGGCTGGGCGCCGAGCACCAGGTAGGGAGATAGAGACTGGATACATGTGTTGGTGGTGGCGAGAGCAAGCTCTCATTGACATTGACGTTCAGTGCTACGATTCTCCATTGGTGTTATATTGGTGCAATGCTGCTTCTTGAACACTGTGTTACGATTTTGGCTTTCAATGTGATTGTGCAATCTGAATATTATCATCTCGCTTCTGTTCATTTTCCTTGCATTTTGAAATTTCACTTTTCATACCCCAAAATTCATTTCGAATAAACTTAACCAGAATTTATTTTTTCGAAATTAATTTATTTTTTGGGATATTTTCAGCATTTATTTCATTCCTAAAAATTTCGTGTTTTCAACTTTTCTCCCGCGATTTCCTTTTTGAATTTTCAAATTCATATCGAATAAATTACTCCAAATCGAAATAATTTATTTTGAATTAATTCCCATTTTATTCATTTATTGCTTTGGCAAATATCTTTACTTATTTTTGAATAAATCAATTAATGTTGTAAATACCTTCCCCCCCCCCCCCCCCCCCCCCTCCCCCTGCCACTCCCAAATCTCCACATGCCACCACACCAAACCAAGACCTCCCAACGCGCAGCCGCCGCCACCGTCGCCGCTGCCGCCGCGTCTGCCTCCACCTCATCCGCAGCCGTTGCCTCAGCCACCGCATCCACTCCATCTTCCCCCAACATGGCCCAATCCTCCAGCATCGATATGCTTGCCATCAATACCCAGTCTATTGACAGCCTCGCTCGCAAACTTACGGGCGAACAAAGATCTGAGCCCGTTGCCACCGATATCGCCACCCTCATTCGCATGATGTCCTCTTTCCAAACGGACATCCGCGCGTCCCTCACCACCCACTCCCCCAGATATATGAACTTCTTGATCGCCTCTGTGGAGCCAAATATTTCACCAAGATCGACCTCCACAGTGGCTTCCACCAGATCCGTATCCGCGAGGACACCCACAAGACCGCATTCCGCTCTCAGTTCGAGCACTACGAGATCCTCGTAATGCCTTTCGGACTCACCAATGCCCCCGTCACATTCCAGTCCACCATGAACCACATCTTTCGTGACCTCCTCGAAGTCTGTGTCGTCGTGTACCTTGATGACATCCTCATCTTTAGCCCCACCTTCCAGTCCCACCTTCAACACATTCGCCAAGTCCTCTCAATCCTCCGAGAGCAAAAATTATACGCCAAGCTCAACAAATGTACGTTTGCCGCTTCGAGCGTCGAATACCTTGGCCATATTGTCTCCGCTGAAGGCATCCGTATGGACCCCTCGAAGGTCACAGCCCTCGTTGAGTACCCCCCGCCCAAGACCCTCCTCCAACCCCATTCCTTCCTCGGCCTTGCCAACTATTACCGCCCGTTCATTCACAACTTTTATGAGATCTCTTACCCTCTCCCCGAACTCACACGCAAGGACGAGCCCTTCAATTGGAATGATCGTCGCCAACACGCTTTCGACTTCCTCAAGCAAACCATCACCATGGCCCCTGTCCTCAAGATCGCTGGCCCCACTCGCCATTTCTATGTCACCATTGATGCCTCCGACTTTGCCATTGGAGCCGTATTGTCCAACATTTTCCCCGCGACACCTCCGAGACCCCCTCCATCAAGGACTCGCCCACTCACCCTAAGGCTCCACCCGACGAATACCCCATCGCCTTCGCAAGCAAGAAGCTCCTTCCCACGGAGATGAAGTACCCCTCCAACGAGAAGGAACTCCTCGCCGTGATTCACGCCCTCACAGTCTGGCGCCCGTACCACGACGAGCAATACTTCACCATCCGCACTGACAACACCATCGTTTCTTCCATCCTCGCCAAGAAAGACATCACCCCATCACCCCACACCAAGCTCGATGGCTCGACTTCCTTGCCCAATTCACATTCATCATTTGTCATACCCCCCGACAAAAGCAACCGTGTTGCTGATGCCCTCTCTCGACGACCCGACCACAAGCCCCCCGAGAAAGTCTACGCCGCCATGACCCATATCCAGCTCCTCCCATCACTTCATCACCGATACACCCAAGGCTACCTCTCTTGCCCAGACTTCGCCACCATGTACAACAAGCTCCGCGATCTTGACCCAGTCCCCGACTACTCCCTCCCCGACAACCTCCTCTACATCGACACCAAAGGCACTCGCTGACTGTGCATCCCTGACACACGTGGTCTCCGTACCCAGCTCTTGGTCGAGCACCACGATGCCAAGACCGCATGTCATCTCAGTTTCCAGAAAACCTTTGACACCATCTCCCGCTACTTCTATTGGTCGTCTCTACTCACCGGCGTCAAAACATACATTCGCTCATGTCCCACGTGTCAGGTTGGCAATCCCTCGAACCGAGCGAAACCCGGCAAGCTTTCACTCACCGGTGGCAGTCCATTTCCATGGACTTCGTGTGCGGCCTCCCTAAGACCGACCGCGGGCATGATTGCATCTACGTCATTGTCTGGCGCCTAACCAAACGCGCCCACTTCATCCCTTGCACCACCTCGCACACTGCCAAAGACATTGCCTTACTCTTCTTCAGCCATGTTGCACGCCACCACGGCCTCCCCGAGAATATCATCAGCGACCGCGATCCCCGTTTCTCTTCAACGCCTACGGAACTACACTAAAGTAAAGCACTGCATTCCACCCACAGACCGATGGACAAACCGTGAAGACGAACGATACTCACCAAAGAATCCTACGGAAGTACTGTCATCCACATCAACACGACTGGGATCAGTTGTTCACCGCCGCCGAGATCGCCTACAACAACGTTGTCTGTCCTTCCACTGGCATCTCTCGATTCTACCTTGACCTTGGCTACCATCCGCGCTTGCCCTCTAATTTCCTGCTTCCCTCGCAACTCAACCCCTCCACACCCTACCCTTCCCTCAATGAATGGGTGGCAACAATGAATCGAGTCCTCAAAGAAGCAACCGAAGCCCTCGAAAGAACACAAGAACAACAAGCAAACAAGATCAACAAACACAGACGAGACTTGCAATTCAAAGTAGGGGACAAAGTCTGGCTCTCCGCCAAACGCTTTGAACCCGAACATGGATTGTCAAAGAAACTCTCGAACAAATGGCTCGGACCCTTCCCCATCATTGAAAAAACCTCCGACGTCAACTACAAACTCCAACTCCCCCCCGACATGAGCCGCGTCCACCCGGTCTTCCACGTCGAATACTTGAAAGAATATCATGAATCCCCACCCTAATTCGCTGACCGCCCATATCCTAGACCTCCACCTATCATATTACCCACAAGCCCTGAATTCGTTGTTGAAGCGATCATAGGTCGACGAACTACTCAGGTACCGGACCTCCTGGAACCAATCACTGAATACAAAGTCAAATGGACCGGATACCCCGACGAAGAATCTACATGGGAACCTCTCTCGAATCTCAAGAATGCCATGAAACTCGTTCGCGCCTATGATCGTGCTACTCCTATGTCCTAGACACCCACTAACTACAACCCTAAACCCCTGCATAAACCTTGCCACAACCTCGCAACCCCATTCTAAACACACCCTTGAACCCAGTCCACCCTCCCCTCGAACCCCATTCCTGATGTCTGGTCTGCCCTTGCCCTCGCCTAGCCTTGTCCCATCCGTCCTCTCCACTACCTTGTCTCTCTCGTCCAATGCTTATGAACCTGTGTGACGCCGGCGAAAATGGATCTAATGGCAAGCGCACGAGGACGATGGCCTGCTGCCTCACTGTTCATAAAGATTATGCAGCTGGTTTGGCCACCATGCTGTTTCATCAGCCGACATCCTGACTCGTGGACTTACTGGAGCAGCAACTTGTGACATGGATCTTTGCATCACTCTGCGACTTCCTTGCTTCCAAATCAGACCTCATTGCAGTTCGTGTACCGGACGCAAGACACTTGGAGACTTTGTTCCCACATGAGATTCTGCTTCCGACTCCTTCGGACACACCAGCCCTTGCCTCCTGAACAAACATTTTCGTTTTTTTATTTTTCTTTTTCCTGACTTTGACAACACTGTAGAACATCATCAGCAGATCCCTGTTCCCCTAACCATTGTTTCCCTTACCCACTAGAACATCAATAGAAATTCCCTGTTCCCCTGACCATTGTGTCCCTTACCCACTAGATTATCAATAGAAATTCCCTGTTTTCCTGAACATTGTTTCCCCTACCCAGTAGAACATCAATAGAAATCCCCTGTTCCCCGAACATTGCTTAGCTTCCCCTATAGACCCACCAGTCACATCATACCTTCACCTGTGCAAAACACCAGACAAAATACCTTGTGACTTACATCACTCCCCTTCTCCTTCTCCGACCAGTGATCGGCCCCATCCCGTCCTTCACAACTCTTTTTGTTTCCTTGGCTTTTTTGGCAGTCGGGACGTTGCCTTTCAGAGGGAGGGGATAGTGTTACGGACTCTGCCAGGGCTCGATCCCTGGTCTATCTTTTTGCTGTTTCTGCTGCATCCCATTTTCGGCCTGGCACCCTTTTTTCCAAACCCCTCCTTTGGTGCCGTCGGATTTTGGACAACTGGCGCCATGCTGCAATTCGGGCGCCACTTTCAAATACCGCATTTTTCAGTTCTGCCCTCGGGGCTTTTGCAAATGCCCCTGGTACCGTACGTGTCACCGGTACTTATAGCAGCTCCCCGTACAGTACGGGGACCAGTCTCGTACCAGTTTTCTGTTGCTGTACTCGTACTCAGTGTGACTTGTTGTTTCGACATTCGGAATCCAAGACTTCAACTTTGTGCCCTTGCCACTGTGTTTGCGTCCGACCCTCAGTCGTGTCGAGTGAGTGAGTGTGTGTGTGTGTGCTCTCACTCTCTCCCTCTCTCTCTCCTCTCCCTCGGCTCTTCCTCAGCCCCGAGCTTGTCACAGTGTCCATCCTGAAGATAGTTTTTGGCCATGAACCCAACACTCTTACTTTTCTGAGAACAAAAGGACTTAGAACTGCTCTTTCCACCTCTTTGTTCATAATGGATGAGAAGCCTTGTGTCGATGAGGTAACTGGGAACGAGGTGAATACTGCCAGGGTATCCGGTTCCCGCTGTTTGTGGGAGAATTGATAAGCCCTAGAGGGGGTTAGTTCTTGTATCATCGCCCACCATTTCCCCGGTTTCCAAATCTTGTCTTCGTGCAGCAGTTCCTTCCAGTCACCTGGGATGCATTTGATGATGGATTGCGGATTTTCATCTCGTTTGTGACAGCCCTTTAGCTGAGGGGCCAGTTCCTGTTCTGTCAACCAATCCTTTTTCTCCTCGTCCCCTAAATGGCTCACTTTCTAGACTCTATGCTCCAAGATAGTCATCTCTGCCCTCTAGGCTTGAAGGGCAGTGGGTGGTCGCTTTCATCTCTCACCCAAGGATTACCAAATAAAGGTTGCCTCAGGAACTCCTCTTTGGACTTTGGTCTGCCCACCTTCTTTGGCATGATTTCCCACCATATCCGTAGCAGTGCAGTCCAGTAAGGTGTGGGGGGCCTGGCTTCGTTAGGACCAGGTCCTCTCCGTTGGTTTCTGCGGCCTGTGTTTGGACTCCATTCCTTGTTCATCACCCAAAACAAACCGGACATGTTCATTGGTGTTGTTGTTCTGCGGCCTGTGTTTGGACTCCATTCCTTGTTCATCACCCAAAACAAACCGGACATGTTCATTGGTGTTGTTGTTGGGGCTAGGCTCTTGATACTGTCCAGGGCTAGTTTGTTCCACGCAAGACCCGGTCTGGTAAGGAGTTTGACAATTCATTTAACTTGTAGAGCTTTTGTTTCCTGTTTGGGGTCAATGACGCCAAGTCCTCCTCTGGCCGGTTTCCTTGTGATGTATTGCCATGCTATCTTTGGCATACAGTTCTCCTTGTTTGGGTCACCCGACCACAAGTATGCTCTTGCTTTGCGGTTGAGGCCCTTGATTGTGTGATCTGGCACCGTCCAGATAGAAGTTATGTGCCACATCATTGAGAAAACTGATGTATTGATAGTCAGTGCCCGACCTAGCAGGGATGTGAAAGTGTTCCCCCACCTGCCCAGTTTGTTGATTTGACTAGCACGTATATTTTGGGCCATTTGGGGGGCGAAACCATCTTTCGTCATCGGGATGCCTAAGTATCTTGTAGGTGTATCTGGCTTCTCCCATGTCATAGCCACCTCCGGGCCCTGATGTTGGGGAACTTCCTCTTCAGACAACAACCATCCAATCGTTTTTTTCAAGTCGATTTTCATTTCTGAAGCCAATGTGAAGGCCTCCATGGCTCGTACCAGTGCACTAAAAGATGAGTCCGCGGCACAGATGAGGACAGTCAGGTCATCAGCAAACATGATCACTGTAGGGAAGTGAAGGTGGTGAGGTGTGCCTGCATTTACTTATGGTAGCCTGTGGATGGATGGGTCCTTGCGCAGAAAAGATGCTATAGCCTCCATTACGGAAGATTGGTGGTGCGAGCGCATCGCCTTGGCTGACTGACTGTGATACTGGATAGCAGTCAAATATCAAGCCGTTGATTTGGACACAGCCTATAGCATCATTGTATAAAATACGAACCCACTTCCTAAAATTTGGACCTACTTTTATATTTTCCATGCTTGCATTGAGGAACGCCCAGTTGACCTGATCATAGGCCTTTCGA